TAATAATAATAATAATAATAATAGTAATAATAATAATAATAATAGTAATAATAATAATAATAATAATAATAATAATAATAATAATAATAATAATAATAATAATAATAATAATAATAATAATAATAATAATAACAATAATAATATAATAATAATAATGATGGCGATAATAGTAATAATAATAATCGTCATCATAATAATAACAAATAGTAGTAATATAAAATTAAATATAATTGAAAACAAACTACAGCGCTAAATTATTCCCTCGGCCACCATATATGATCATCATGTCATTAAATACGACAGCCGTATGTCTTGTACGACCAAGTGGTATGTCACCAATGCATGGAATTACTGACCAAATTTCTTTTTCTGGAAAAAAAAAATGTAAGCGAAGCATAATCATTAGAACATTTCGGAAAACAAAAAAGCGATAATTTAACATATTAATTGTAAGAATTAATAAATGACCAAACTCTTCATCTGAACATTTTATGGAATTAAATTGTTGACATAAAATATATTTTTAAAATTTATTACTAAAGTAATTTAAATTTAGTACTAAAATAACTTTTTTCTCTCGTTCTAATTTCAGTTGTCTTTTTTTTCTTTTGCATAAAGATTACAATTAATATTGGCAAACAATTATTATCTGTTTGTTTTCTTTTCAAAAATTTACGAAAAAATAAAAAAGTACCTGGATCAAAACAATAAATTTTTGTGGAGCAAATTAAATTATTGCCACAACCACCCCACATATAAAATTTCCCATTATATGTCACAACAGTGTGACCAATTCGATAACGTGGTGTATGTTCGAGAGCAGTCCGTTTCTCGCGTATATTATCATCATCATCATCATCATCATCATCATCGTCGTCATCATTATTACTGTTATCATTACCAGCATTTTTTAAATCTTGTTGACGATTTATTTTTTCATAAGTTTCCATTGGTAAATATACGGATTTATTTGATGCTGCTAATAACTGATACCAACGATAAGATTCTAGAAAATTAAAAAAAAAAAAGAAATTGATAGTTAATCGAATCAATCTTTTCAATTCAGAGTTTTTTTTTTATTTGATTTTTAGAATACTTATTGTTGCTGCCTGTTATAACATTGTTTATTTGATTTAAATCTTTTATTTAATCTTTTTTTTTAAAATATAAAATTTGCAAAATATTACAAAATTTGTAATAACAATTAATTTACGATGATATTTTATCCAAACTATAAAAAATTTATCGAAAAAAAATTATGAAAAATTTTTTTAAAATTTTAACGTTATAAATGTAAACCGTAGATATCAAATGAAATTTTTGATAAGATAACATTTAAAATAAGTCACGTCAAATTCGCGTGAAATCAATTCATCATCTATTTGTTGCATAGAGTAAACATTTGTAAACAATGACATAAATTGGAAGATGTAAGATGAATTACAGTTTACAGTTAAAATTATTACGCAATTAGATCACGCATTAACGTGTATATCTAAGACGTTACTTCCTCCGGGAGAGAAAAAAAAATAAGAACTTCATCATTTTGTGCCAAAAATGGCATTCAATTGTATAAATTTTAGGCGGAATTAGTGGTACAGTTTTGATTCATAATTTGAAATAAATGAAAAAATGGTCGAATCATATATACAAATTCCGGAAAACAGGAACATACCGGTATCTAGAACATGTATACCAAATATAGTATTATCAGGTGATTCATCATGACAATTATATTCACCAAATGAATAAATTTTGCTGCCTAATGCAGCAGCAACTTGATTAGCCCGTTTTGGGCCACCATCCAATGAAACTGTCCAATATGTCATCAATGTCACGTGAAGAAATTTTGCTAAATTTGCAAAAAAATTAGGTACAAACATATTTTTAGAGTATGCAAATTAGTCACGTACATGAACATTCTGTATCACTAAGGAACTGAAAATTGATTAAAAGTAAAAAATGGAAGAATTTTAGAAATCCTTGTTAGCAGATTTTAATTGCATTACTACATTACGTCATAATTTGAACAATTTAAAATTAATTACTAATTAATGAAATAAGTTGATAAAATTGAAGAAATGAAAACGAAATGAACGAAAGAAAATGTCAACACTGAAATTAAATTGATTTTAAAAGTTATACATGTAATAATTTAATCTGTTTGAAGAATTTTGATGAATTTTAGGTCTATCTGATTATAAACAAATATCCACAATTTCTGGATGACATTTTCTTATCCCAAAATTATATTCATTAATTAAAAAAAAAAAAATCAATAAATTAAAATGAAAAGTGTAAAATTTGCTGCAGCATTCCATCAAATAATTTAACGACAGCAACGAAAACGTAGAAAATTGGGAGAAAGAAAAAATTAGCATTTGAAAAAACTTTTTAAGCACAATAAATTTATTTTTAAATTTTTTAATTGATATAATTTGCAATTTTGAAGTAGAATTGTTTCGTAATACCAATTTGCTCGGAAATTTGCATATTATACATGATGTTTGATTGTTGTACGTAAATGTACTGAATTATATAACTCAATAAATTTGAATACTTTTTTTTTTCTGAAACAATTTTAGGAAAAAAAAATTGATAAACTGATTGAAAAAAAAAGGAGCTAAACGAAGCATTCAAAAAAAAAAGAAAATTTATTCATCAATACTTTTTCTTTTTTTAAAATTAACCTAAAATCAATAAAAAAGTATACAGACGAACAATTTTTGCGCCCATGCAAATTACTTTATACCAAATAGTAACGAGCAATAACATCAAAATGATAATGATAATGATATGTAAATCATTCTATATGGAAAATACCGGGAATAGATCAATTATCAGTGCTAAAATCAAGCATTGCGATAAATGCAAGAAATGCCTATATGCTTGTATAATTGTGCAAAAAAAAAGAAAAAGGGAAAATTTAGGATAAAAATTAAGCATTTTATGCAGAAAAAAGATTCATACTATTTAATTAATTATATCAGTATGTGTACAAAAAAAAGAAAATTCTAATACATTAATTTTGCATTTTATACAAGTAAAAAATTCATATTATTTAATTAATGTAATTTCATTTTATCTTTATTATAATTCATTTATTTGTATGAAATGAATAATACTAATTTTGCTTTTATAAACTTGTGAAAAGGAAATATTTTGGAGTAATATATGATATTGATAAGAAAAAAGACATTCCTTATCAGAAAAGGATGAGAAGAAAAAAAGGCAAAAATATGCTGAAAGAAAGATGTAAACATTTATGAAATACAATCTTTCTCAATCATTTGCATATTAATTGTTTAAATTAAAATGTCATTTGATATTTTGTAGTAAATATAAATAATATTTTATTTGTGATCAGATCTACATATTTATCACAACGTTGTATTCTGTTTTTGCCTAATTTTAATTAATTACAATCTTACGTTTAAAAATTATTCAGCATTTAATAATAGCAGTGGTATAATTTTGATTAGTTTTTATATAATTGGAAAAATTTTCCATTCTTTTTTAAATTTAATATAAGCTTACAAATTACAGTAACTAAATTAATCGGTTAAATTTAGTTTTAAAAAATAAGAATTGAAATTATATCAAAAAATGTTATAAATTTCTAATTTAAACTAAAGTGTATAATAAATAAAACTATCCTATTATGACTGTTTATCCTATAACTCATTATTCAATATTAAATAAGGCTAATTTATTCGAGAAAAAAACAAACAGAAAGGTGTCGAGAATGACAGAAATAGCTGTTACTGTAATATCTGTCACATCTTTTCCACTTATCAAGTAGTAGAAAAAGATCTCATGATCATCACAAAATAATTCGATCTAGACAACTTTGATCCATTCTCGGGGTAAATTTGAATAAACTAATATGTTATCATGTATTAATTGGTTATCAATGATAATTCTTATAAGACTTTTTTCTGCAAATTTCTAATTTATTAATTAAATTACATTTAGCAAATTCGCATGAATTTCTAAATATTTCTAAATAATTTGATAACATATCAATTTTCCCATTGTTTGATAAAAATTTGATCAATAATTTTGGTAAACACTTATCATTTTAACAATTTCAATTGCTATATTTTCGAAATATTCATTTCATTTCTTTAATTCAATTATTCTAAATATTCATTTCATTTCAATACTCATTTCATTAATTGCTGCAACATAGAAAGTAGACATACCAAAAAAAAAAATGTGATCGAATTTAATCAACACAATAAAGAGGAATTAAAAAAAAAGAAACATTATATTGATGTATTTGATTTTAACGATTCATTTTAGTTTAAAAATGGACTAAATTGAACGTCACAATATTTAATAGATTATTTAAATTGTCGTTGTAATGAATCATTGCTTATATCATTTAATGTTACTAAATAAAACAAAGTTTCTTCTTCATTTAATTTAAGTTAAAAAAAAATAATTTTTTTTTACAATATATTCGTTTTTGTTGCAATCATTTTTTATTGCATATTTTTCATTTGTTTTAAATAATTATTTCAATTTTTAAATAAAATTGTTTATATATAAAATAAATGCTTTGTTTACAATATAGTATAAATTACACCTAGAAAAATTTGCATAATTGATAAAACAATGTATATATTTTGGTGGAACAGGTATATCGAATTGAGAAACACCTCGATGAGAATGATAAAGTATCAAAGGTATTTGTTTCATTATGTGAACGGAGAAATCATTCCACAAATACGTGGTATAATTTTTTAAAAAATGATTTTATCCACAATATTTTTTAAAATTCATTGTCTAATATTTTATTAATTTAAAAATATAATTATTTTTGGAAAGAAAAAATGATTAGTACAAATAATATATTGAGAAAAGTTACAATAAATGAAAGGAATGATATCATTTAAAGGTTTATCATGATAAGGTATATGGTTATATTTAGTGGATATGCAAAAATTATCATTTTGAAATGCTTTATGAATTTAATTCCAATAACATTAATTAGTACCCGTTACTATTGTTGATTGTGGCTTTATATTTATTAGCTTAATGTATTACTTTTTGAAATTTTAATGTGCAAACCATTTTAAATTATCGTTTTCTGTTTGCTAAATCGAAGAAAAAATAATATGTTAGTGTTAAAAGAAAAAAAATTTAAATAAAATGTGAAATTTGAAGTGTATTTTAGAAATATTTGTGAATGCATATAAATTGATTGGACTTGTGAATTTTTTTCTTAATCACATTTAAAAGAGTAGTTTTAAGTCATTTGATAATAAAA